GTTTTTATAAGAATTAAATGATATTCTCTGATTTTATAAGAATTAAATGATATTCTCTGATTTTATAAGAATTAAATGATATTCTCTGTTTTATAAGAATTAAATGAAGCATGTTTAAACATTTAAATTCTGAATCAATGCAAATATTGTTTAGAATGGACATTTTTCCTGACAATGAATTACAGTGTACCAAGATTAATGCATTCCTCAATAAATAATGTTGATGAAAGTTGTTTAGAGTTAGTAGGATTCTTTATAAGTATTAAACGACAGTAATACAAAGACGTTTGTACTGGAAATGAAAAAAATGGATTTGTTTGGTTTTTAGAAGAGTATCTGGACAAATTACACTTATTGTTTCATTTTATTGACGTTTATAAGATGATCATAAAAAAATTGTTTATAAATGTCTCTCCAGTACTGTTATTGTTTTTGCAATTTATTTTCGAAAGTATGCGATTTTTGGGCTTTGTAAAGATACGCGCTTAGTGCCTAACAGAAGACAAATTTGAATGGTTTAGATAGATTACACATCCTTAAACAGCGCCATGACGTAAGTAACTTATTATACATTGTCAAATATCTTTGTTGTGGAAAGATTTGAGCCTTCTTTTATGATCTAATCTGTTTTTGTTGTGTGCTATACTTCACATATTGTACAAATCATGATTTTGGGGTAAAAAGGCAATTCTTTTAAATAACATTAACTAACGATGCAAAATGTTATGTTAAACTTTTTAAAACTTGTATATAAAGAGTTTAATGGGAAAACGATGGATAAAGCGATATCAACTGCGTTGTAGCCTCAAAATTGTGGGGTATATTTGTGTCCGCTTCTGGTTCAAACTGCGCTATACTTTTATTCTGCGAAAATAACTTTGCTAGAAACATATACCAAACGAAGCGAAAAAAGCGAAGCATGTTATCAATATATCAGATTATTAGTGATTCAAACGGAAAATGTAATTAACAAAAAGATACATTTTTTTAAAACAAAGATTACAAAATTGTGAATACGACGCAGTTCCTAACCCTGATTAGGATAGTCTAGTGCTTCGTAGTTCACGAAGAGTATAAACGGAAATTCTTCTATTGTTGAAAAAAAATGTCGTATATAGATAACATTTGGAACATGTGTCATACATAAATCAAGACTTTGATGATAAAAATAATAAATACATGTATACGCTTATAGATCTGTCGTATACTTTAAATACTTTGTCTAAAACTTTTTATAGCTCACCTAAGCTCAAAGAATTCAGACATAAGCTATTGTGTATGTTGATGATTGTTGCCAGTAAATCCTCGTTGGTCATTATCCAACTTTCCAAAAAGTAAACAGCTCCTTCCGGTTTAATTTTTATATTTTGAGCATATTCCTTGTAGAACGTGTCCTAAGGTGGCATTATACAAAGCTTTCATGGGTCAAATCTGAATCACAAATGATATATTTCAAAATCGTTTGATCAGAACTACAATGTCGTGGAACCGGCATATCAATATAAATGTACTTGATACGTAGCGTTACCTTACAGCCGTAAAGGTAATGGAACATGCTTGTCAAAATAAGTTGAGCCTTTGTTGATTATTTAGCAAGAGGCAGGATGTGAAGTGGTACACACTTGGTTCTAGTGAGTGAAAAGGTTGCAAACTGACAAAATGGCCACTGAGGCAGAACAATTCGTAACGTCCGGTATGGAATGCATTGACTGTCTTATGATTTATACGATGTGCATTTATGAATAAATGATGTGGTAGAATCATTATATACAGTCAACTTATCAATATATTATGTCAATCTTTCATTATACGACGTGCATCTATTATTATACGATGTGCATTTATGAATATATTATGTGGTTGCATTATTATATACAGTCAACTTATCAATATATTATGTCAATCTTTCATTATACGATGTACATCTATTGTTATACGACCGCTGCTTTATATGAAGTGCAAACATCATTATATGGTGTGCTTCTGTCATTATACTGATGGGGTTAAATGTACCGGGTGATATCTCACTATGCACCGTTCGTGGCAACAGCGGGAAAACTCAAAGTAAATTATATCATACAGTGTTAAGCTGACTATATATATATATATACATGTATATATATATATATAAAGACAATTCTACATACTATAGTGTTGTTTTGACTCTATATAAGAATGGTTCCACATAATATATTCGTAATTGCAGATCATATAATGAAAAACTGACACAAGTTCGACTCATAGAAGTTCTACTGTAATATATTCATTAATGCACATCGTATAATGAAAGATTGGCATCATATAAGGACGTGTTGACATCATATAATGTTAAGTTGACTCTATATAAAGACGGTTCTACATAATAAAATATTGTTTTGACTTTATATAAGAATGGTTCCACATAATATATTCGTAATTTCACACCATATAATGAAAGACTGACATCATATAAGAACATGTTCACATCATATATTGTTAAGTTGACTCTATATAAGGATGGTTTATTATAATATAATGTTGTTTTGACTCTATATAAGAATGGTTCCACATAATATATTCGTAATTGCACATCATATAATGAAAGACTGACATCATATAAGGACGTGTTGACATCATATAATGTTAAGTTGACTCTATATAAAGACGGTTCTACATAATATAATATTGTTTTGACTTTATATAAGAATGGTTCCACATAATATATTCGTAATTTCACACCATATAATGAAAGACTGACATCATATAAGAACATGTTCACATCATATATTGTTAAGTTGACTCTATATAAGGATGGTTTAACATAGTATATTGAAAAATGCACATCGTATAATGAAAGATTGACATCATATAAAGACGTGTTGACATCATATATTGTTAAGTTGACTCTATATAAAGACGGTTCTACATAATATAATATTGTTTTGACTTTATATAAGAATGGTTCCACATAATATTTTCGTAATTTCACACCATATAATGAAAGACTGACATCATATAAGGACATGTTCACATCATATATTGTTAAGTTGACTCTATATAAGGATGGTTTCACATAATATATTGAAAAATGCACATCGTATAATGAAAGATTGACATCATATAAAGACGTGTTGACATCATATATTGTTAAGTTCACTCTATACAAGGATGGTTTCACATAATATACTGAAAAATGCACATCGTATAATGATAGAATGACATCATATAAGGACGCGTTGACATCGTATAATGTTGACTCTATATAAGAATTATTCCACATAATATATTCATAACTTCACATCATATAATGACAGACTGACATCATATAAGGACAGATTGACATCATATATTGTTATTTTGACCTTATATAAGGATGGCTCCACATAATATATTCAAAAATGCACAACGTATAATGATTGATTGATATCATATAAAGGCACGTTGACATCATATATTGTTCAGTTGACTACATATAAAGATGGATCCACATAAAATACTAATGAGTGTACATTGTATAAGGAAAGGTTGACTCAATATATTGCTATATGGACATAACAACGTTTAGGTTTATTATTAAAAGACAGTCAAGGCTTTCAATAGTCCGGCCGTATTTTGTATGCTAAGCTTAAATTGTTGAGTATGTTCATTCATTAGGTAATGCTTATGACACACTCAGTTTTGCATTCAGCTTTCTTGTCGTTATTAAAGATATAAATTGGTCTATTTTGAGATTTGAATGTTGGCTTTTCCAGTCGTTTTTCCTCTCTTTTATTCCAATCCGTAAGTTTTGAAGTTCAGCAATTAAGACAAAATATGTTTTTGTCAATACTATATAAATGTTTTAACATGTTAAAAAGAAAGTTTCATTACACACAAATATCGTGTTCAAGCGCTTTTTGTTGCAAACTTATTTCTCATTGTTTTGTCAAGTGTTAAACTGCAAAAAGATCAATATTTATCATATCTAGTTGTCACAGTTACTTCCTTGACAATTTTATGCAGTATAAAGGATATACACTTTATTCACATTACTTTGATAGTTTTAGGGGTTTCCTTATTAATTTGTAAATTGCTATTATTTATTTGTACGCCCACTCCATATCACAACTTTTGAGCTGTTTTCTGTGCTCGATGTTCTACTGGGTGCCTTTGCAGTGGTCCAGTGTGACTGAATTTTGTCAGTGACTGTGCTTTGTGGACGTCGCTCTGTCCTGTTCTTATCTTTTTTCTGTTTGACGACCATCAAGCATGTGTGTATTTCTTTTATCTGCATTATTCTCAGTGTATTATTGAAAAAAAAAACATCATGAAAAATATTCTCCTCAATTTTCTATTAAGTTGTTCAATATCTTAACTGATATTACGCGATAAATAATCATATCAGAAACGAAAAGAAATAATAGGATATTTCACTTGAAAAAAAATGTCATCATAACTTAAACTGCGATAGATAGTTACAACACATAAACATTTCACACGTTATTTTAAAAGCACGAAAAGAAACGATAAATTCTTGCGTAATAACGTTCATCATGGGCATTGCAACGTAAAGACGTTATCACGTTATGGATAAGAGCTAGTGATGTTACTCGTTTAATAAGTAAATTGTATCAAAACCAGAAAAAGAAGTTATATATATCTAATCTATCATAGAAATAGTGCAGCTATTTGCACGGAAGGGCACCTGAGGTCTTCCTCCACCAGTAAAGCTGGAACGTCGCGATATGACCTAAACTGTGTCGATGTGACGTCAAACCCAAAAACAAACAAACAAGTGCAGCTATTATTATCTCGATATTTACGCACTGATACAAAAAAATATTTGTAACCATTTCTTGATCTCTGTGGTATTTAGCTTAACAACATCTTTTGGTATTTTGCGCTATTTAAAAACTTAGAATGTTGCAGTAATTTTTGTTGTTGTTGATACGTGTTTAGTTTTATTCGATTGAGAAAAAAACACATACTTGCTATACTACTTCGAAACAACGTCAGTTGTAAAGGAAAATTAAGGAACAAAGTATATAAATTTCGTAAAATATATTTTTAATAAAGGCAATATCTACAGAGTATCAGAAGTTATTAAAACAGTTTCCATCCTGTAAACGTTGATCGAGTAAGGTCATCTTTTATGGTGCAGCCACGGCCCTTACTTCTTCTAATAAATACATGGGTACCCACGTTTACATGAACAACAACGATTCCAGTTGCTTGATCGTTTTCAGCATTTGTTGTTATCCATCCTTTTACATTCCCGTCAACAACTATATCGACCACGGACCATTCGTCAAAAGGCGAAAACAAAGTCATCATAAACACATACGTCCCGGCTTCCGGCACGACAAATATGCCGTCTACTGGATTGTAATCATTGCCTTCATCTGTTTCCACTGTATCAAACACAATCAGTTCATGCTCCCTTACGCATTTACTTCCTGTGAAATAAGCATGAAATGCAATGCCATTCGATTGCCCTGAAAATAAAAACCGAAAAATGCTTGCTTACAATTTTCATTGCTCATTTTTTTATGTAACACAATAACATTTGCAACTAAATATGAGTCTTAATATAATAACAATCCGGAATAATTGTTTTTATCATAGCTTATGTCTATATATTTCTAATATCTGTTAAAATCTAACGGAACTAAAGTACTAAAATGTCATACAAGGCAAACATTCACATAACTTACGCTTAATTATGCGGTTTAGGCTGGATGTGGTGATTTGAATATCGTCTGTTGCCGTCATGTCTTTGTGATCTAAGACGCTGTTGACAGCATTTTCCTCAACATTATCTGCGCGTTGATTTTGTCCACTATCATTTGTGACTTCCTTAGAATTTGATAGTATTTCATGTTTTCTCATTTCGTTTTCAATCACTTCCAATCGCAATTTAAGATCAGCATTATACTTCTCGTGGCTTTTAATGGTAATTTCTTGGTCCCGGATTATTTTCTCTTGATGCTCCAATATTTGTTCTACCTTTATTAACCTTTCTTCAACGGACAAAGCATTAGAACCACAAAAACACATTAAATATATCACGCAGAATAAACAGACAAACATTTTTGCGACTGTCTAGGACGCAAAAATATATGAAGTGTGGTTTCAAGACTTATTTAGCAGACGATGCAAAATAACTCACTATCGTGAAAATTAGATAACGGAACCGACCTCTGACTGTAATTTATGCAAAAAATCAACAGATACGTATTTATATAGTCCTCATTTCAGATGACCTCAATTTAGTGTATTAAGGCTAATGAAATAGAATTTATTTGATAGAAATCACTTAACAGTCCCTGGTTGTATTTGAAATAGACCTTTTCTTTATTAAAGATACTGTAAGTCCACTACATATATCTAAACTGACATTGTGTTTAAACTATTCTCATCAATTAAAAATACTTAATCATATGTATCGTTGGGGAATTGAGTAACAAATCAGGTTCAATATCGCCCATGACTCTAACATGGATTTCGACAGAACTATGGTCCTGTTTGACTTAGAAAATTCTACATTATCCAAACTCTTGTTCTGCTTTCAAGCACTGAGAACAGTTGAGCATGCTGGGGCTTATCTTTTGAACTTATTGTTCTTTGTTCATTTTTTCACCTTGAACTTTGTCTGGGACGTTACTCTAAAACTATAAGAGATATCAACATGAAAGTTTGTAGGTAGATAGATCTCATCGCGTAGATATGCAATGCAAAAGAATCATAACTGTGCCTTGCTTACGTTATTGACCCTTATCAACTTTACACTGTGAACTTTGTGGTTTTTTTCCCGGATATGTCTGTGAATCTACAAGAAAAATCAAGAAGAAACTCAGTTGGTAGATATATCTCATTGAGTAGCAGTGTAGTGCAATGTACAGTAACTCTGCCTTGCCTAAGTTTTGAATTATTTCACTTTGAATTTTGCTGGGACATCACTCTGAATCCATAAGAGGTATACTTTATAGTGTCCAACATCTATTCGGGGAGCATCATCCGGTTCAAACAGCTCTTGTTTCTTTCATTTAGTGTCACTACATGAAAGACTGTTTGTTGATAGCAAATTTAACATAAAAATGAATGGTGGTTGATATGGATGTTTCTGATACAAGAATTTGATATATCTGATAAAATACGTTAACAAAGCTTTATAGCTTAAATTTGAATACAGATATCTTGTTTTATGTTTTTCCTAATAAATGATAAATAATAAGTTTATGTATGTACTTGCTTCAATAAGGTGATAAATGGATCAAAGAAACCCGAGACTGGTGATTTTGATTATTCAGAAAAAAATATTCATATTGTGTGAAATAGAAGTCGATTATAAGTCTTAAAATTGTTTACCACTCTAGACAACTGTGTAATGGACTGCAGACTACCTTTGTTCTATAGATGAGCAGATAACAATTTTAAATAATTTTAGTAGTTGTGGGCATTTTTACATAATCTAAGTATTTAACAGAAAATGAGTTAAATTTTTTATATTGTACATGATAGTTACGATTTATGACCGAATTTAAGTATTTATATATATATTTCTATAATTACAAAATGTGCATGATTAAGGCTGTTTTTTGCATCATTTTACCTCTTTTTTGGTAATTTACGTTGGTTGCAAGTGTCAGTGATAATGCGTAAATTGCTTCTTTTTGGTCAAATAAATACATTTTTAAAATTGTCATAAAAATTAGTATGAATGTGGAGGCGTGATGCTGTAAAAGTCCAATGTTTTTTTTGAAATAGATTGTTTTTCATCGAAGTCACTTTAAAGTCCCAGTACATAACACATATCAAAACCATACTTTGACGTTATTTTAAAACTGTTCTCATCAACAAAAATACTAAATCATTAGAACGTATCGTTAGTGAAATTTATAAGAAAAAAGAACAATATCTTATTCCAAGCACGCCGTTAGGTGAAAATTACACCAATAGAATCCTGACATATAAGGTCCCACTGAAATATAATAATACTCGATCAGGCTAGCTATCAACATCTTCTATCAAATGCTGAACAGTTTGCTGACATTACTTCAAGCCATCAGTTTCAATATGGAAACAGAGAATTATACAATATCGACCGAGTATGAGTTCCTTCTGTTTATAAAAGAGCTGGTCGCGACGTTCATGTGACAATAAGAGCAGAAAGATCGGTGTACGAGGCCGATATCTTATTTTGACACCCTAATGCTATTAGCTTAATCAAAGGCTGATAACGACTCATATCTCATAATTTCCCAACCACTTGAAATAATACATATAGATAATATTTTTTACAGAGAGGAAATGCAGGTAAACGCTTTTATCAACGTTTTTCCTTTGTATGTATTTGTCTTTCTCAGAGTGAAATTCAATCACCTACCGGGTCTTTTGTCAATATCGATCAAATTAAGGTAAAACTCTCACTACTATTTATTTAAACATGAACTTGAAATAGAAAAAATACTTGCAGTTAAATATGGACACTTAAGATAAATTACAATTACAAAGTTTGAATTATATACAAAATAATTGTCATTGAAATTGGACGATTAAACAATACCGACCGACAGTGATACTGTACTCAATGTAATATGAATATGGTTGAAGATCCTTATCATTTGTTACTTGTTCGTCCTAAATTTAGGCAGTAACGAATCATAACTTTCACCCCGTAGTTTTTGTAGATGGCCATCTATTCAAAAGTTTACTATTTAAATGTCAACATCTATTTAGAAATTAGGTCGATTTTTATATATGTATTTGGCTTTCCTTTCAGAGAAAGACAAATGAACTATGAAATAATTATTAGAGAGAAAAACGATCTGGCGTAACAATTTATTTTAGTAAAATGTTGTGTTTCGCCAATATTAATTAGTACAATAACGCCACACATAGTAGACTTTCTCTATAATTAAACTTTGCTTTTCGTTATACCAGACACATTTTCATATTTTCAAGTTTCTCATAATTTTGCACAATTCTACATTATGTGATATAAACGGCAATAACGATTGGTGCATACCAAATCAAATCCTAGATATTATTTAAGTAACAATTTAGATTTTAGTAATGTCGGTTTCTATATCAGAAGGACACATAAACATAATAATACTATGAAGACCTATTCCGCGATCGGTAACTGAATAACGGTTAAAAAGAACTTTATTGCTCTCTATGACCTCCTACGGTATAATCTTCTACAGTGTAATATGTTACGTATTTTATAGCCTGTGACAATCTTTTATTGAATTTGTGTCAGTATTCAAGGGCTAATCATACATGTCATTAATTCTAATTGCAATCCAATCATGTTATTATTTGAAGGTTAAATCCTCTATAAACTGGTAAATAGAAAAATTAAAACTGCTGACACACCCCTCCCTTATTGCAATTTTATCATAATATTAGGCACCTTTTTAATGGTTATTCATTATTGGTACCAACATTCGGTTTTCCACACACACGCGCACTGCACGCATCCACACACATTAACTAAAAAAGTGTGCAGTTGCACTTTTAAACAATTCGTATATCTGACAAACAATGGACTTTGCTTATTATATACTTTTTAAAAGATGAATTAACATTTATCTTTAAATTCAGTGATATTATTTTTATATTGGATAAAACAGAATGTAACTACGGTTTTATGATTTATTTCCCATTTTTTGTTGAATATTTATCAGAGTAATAAATACTGCACAATAGTTTTGGTCGTAATTTGTTTTATCGTTTTTGAAGTTTCATAGAAACTTTGTTTGTGACTCTAGTTCAAACATTAAAATGTTGAACTAAAAGTGAATCACCATCAGTGAAAAATAATATTCATCGATAATATGTACGAAAATACAAAAAAAAATAGATTACGATACATACTACGATATATCATTATCATGAACTATAAATAGTTTAAATGTCTGTCACTTCCAGTTTTAAACTTTATTACAAACTTACTTTATTTATAGTCGATTATGGTAAACAGTGCAAAAACAGTGCTTTAAACTTGTATCCGACTTGAGGTCGCACCTGCATAAAAGGTAGCAAAATTACACCTGTGCAATATCTGCCTTTGTAAGCGTTATATTAAAGCAATTTCTGATTCTTATACTCGTAAATTAGAAAAACTTAACTTATCTATGTTTGTTCTACATGATCAGATATTAAAATTGGCACATGAATGTGAAAGCCACTGATTGTTAACGGGAACAAGCATAACAGAGTGGGTAAACATGGTCACCTAAAAACCAAAAACTGCAAAGTGAAACTATTTCATCCGTTATTAGGTCTTTCTTTTGCATGTGCTCATGTCTGGTCTTGTCAGACAGACTCGGTCAAGTAAAACACGTTGAAAGAAAGACCTGCGAACATGTACTCGTACATGCAGTAAAAGAATACAATAAAAAAATCAAATAAAAAATTATAGATGGTTTTCATAAAATCCCGTTCATGGACAAACTAGATCGGACATTAAACTGTTCTCATCAATAAAAAAACAAGGTATGCATGTATTGTTGGTGAAATTGAGAACAGATGAGTAACAAGAAAAGCATTGATGCAAAGCATCAAAGGGCGTCCAAGCAAGAAATGCAGCAAGTGAAGATGAACTAGTAGACATCAGATGACCAGATATTCTTATAAAATTTGAATGGTTAATTGGTTTTTACCAGAATTGTATATTATTTATGAATGGGCAGACAAAAGACATTGTTCTTCATGAACTTTGGTAGGCATGCTAGAGATTAGAATATTAAATGTTTTTTTCCACAGGAACTTGAAATTCTATCGATATTAACGATAATATCCAGAATATACAGGTCTATTATATTCAAAATATACCCCTATATGGTAGTTTATTTATCTTATATAGAGGGTAGTTTTAGATATTATCATTAATTTTGGCTATTTGATAGAATCACAGTTTCATATGGTATTTTCTTTGGAACATACAAAATAGTAGTAAAAATGAACAAAGTCTGTTAATTGATTAATTGGGAGGTCAATCTACTATATTAATGAATTACTTCAAAAACCTCGTCTGACCCACCAGTGTGTTTATATTTCTATCATTAAACCCATGACAACGCATGTTAAAATTGCAGACGAATGTTTCTCTTGTTCAAATTTTACAATATTCGGCAAATGAACATTCCACTCAAACTACCATAAAATCGATTGCCTTCAAACAAAATAT